GCCAGGATGCCCTGCCTAGCTAGCTCCCAGACTCTTCAACTAGCCTCCCTTCTGGTACTATTGTCTAAGTCCAGTGAAGCAACTTAAAGCCAAAATGACTTAAAGCCAAATTTAAATGATTTTTAAATATTTAGAAAGTATTTTCTCTTCCTCTCCTAATTTTGGAGCAAAGCAATGTGTCTCATTGAGAAGGCACCGGAAGAATCGTCTTAACCCAGGATCTCGTTCAAATGCTAACACCTGGGCTCTACCATGCTCTCATTCTGGTCTTCATTCTAACAAGTTTCCAACTCGGATACCGGAAGCTTCTGGGGATATCTTTGAACAACCAGCTTTGGGAAGAAATAATGCCCCACGCAGTACTCATATGGCCCTGAGTTGGTAACCAGCACAATGGTCCAGGAACTTAAGGCCTTCAGGGTGGGATGGGTGGGGATGGAGAAAGAGAAAGAAAGCTGAGGCCAGGCAGGCTCCTAGCCAACTACAAAACGGTCCGGAAGAAAGTATTGTACATTTCATAAAAACAGCTCCGAAAAAAATCTGTCAACTCAAAACTAAAATAATTTTAACCTCAGAATTCGGTACTTGCCACAGGAGCGTCTGTGTGTGATGTGATCCACAGGACCACAGAACAAGCAGATACGGAGTCATGAGCTGCAAGTGAATGAAAATGCATCCAGTTCAGAATCAAATAAACATGCCTGGGCTCTCAGCCAGGAGGAATTCTTGGATTGGAATTTTATCAGGGGCCTAAATTTTAACCAGCTGGAAACCTCCCCCCCCCCCCATTACTACCCTATTCCTTTCTACCTTTGGAGATGGAACACTTGCCTTAAATGGGAAACTTGTCCTTCATTGTATGGTGCCAGCACAGTTTCCGAGTTGCTAACGACAGTCTTCTGGGGGAAGGGGTTTAGACGTTGTAGTTCAGACACAATAGACCAGGGAATATGTACGCCATCTAGGGCAGGAAGGAGACCAGAAATGGCCCCTAGGAAATTTGTGAGAATGGCTCTCTCAGCACTAGGGATTGACATGTTAACAGTACCCATCACAAACAGAACCATGTCTCCATCAAAAACAGTGGAGAGCCTAGGGAAATGAGTCAATAGACATAAGCAACTGCCGGGCAAGCAAGAGGACCTGAGTTCAAATCCTCACCACCCAAAGAAAAAGTCAAGCGGGGGCAACCATGCTTACGTGGCTGTGCCTGTAACACTGTGGGTGCTGAGGCGAGCAGAGACCAGAGGATCACTGCGGTTCGTTGGCTGCCTGCCTACCTGCAGGTTCAGTAAGAGACATGTGTCAGGTCCCCTGACATCCTCTGGCCTCTGCATGAGTGCACACATGCACAACCTAACCCGGTAAATCAACTAAATAAAACACATGCATCAAAAAAATAAAAGCAGCAATAGAAAGGGGCAGGTGGTGGTGGCTGATCCCTGCACTCGGGAGGCAGAGGCAGGGGGATCTCTGTGAGTTCAAGACCAGCCAGGGCTGTTACCTAGAGGAACCCTGTCTCAAACAACCAACAAAAGGAAAGGAACAAAGGAAAGTAGTAAGGGTTCCAAGCCAGTGTCAGCGCAGGGTCCGCCCCTCGGGAAGCTCTACAGACTCTAACTCCTTTGAAAAAAACAATATTTATTATTCAAAGCACATCCTTACCTGGCAAAGACTGAGATTTTCTTTTTCTTCAAATAGTTGAGGAAGTGTGCCCACAACTCATTTCTAAAACACTGAGCTGTGTTCAAGATGGTATCAGTCCCTTAATTAACCCACAAGTAATAGGGAGGTTGTGAAACCTGACCACTTAAATCAGGCCAGCTCATGGGCCCTGAGAGCAGCTCTCCCGGCTGCAGCACTTTTAAATCCTGGGGAAATTTTCAGTCCTACAGAGGCCTGGGTTTCTTGCCCAAATGCCCTATGGAGATTAAGTGGGGCATTCACTCATGTGTTCTCCAGTGTTCACACCCGCCCCGCCTTCAGGCTTCAGGGCTCAAAGTTCAGAGTGAAACTCAGACCCCAGGATGATACCCACAGAAGTTCAAATCGCTTATTTACCCTCATTTACTTCTTTCAAATCACATATAATTTACCCTTATTTACTTCTGATTTTTGTTTGAGGTAGATATATAGATTATATATATGATATATAGGTTTACTATATATCCTTGGCTGGCCTGGAGCTCACTATGTAGGCCAAGCTGGCCCTGAATTGACAGAGCTCTGTCTACCGTTACCTGGGTGCTTACCTGGGTGTGAAAGGCTTGTAGCACCACCCCACCCACCTTTATTCATTATCCTTCCCCTGACCCTCCAAGCAATGGGGAATGACCCCAGACCCTGCAGGATGCTAGGCAAGCACTCTACCAATGAGCTACACTTTCCACATCCACTCCCACTCTTTTCTTTGCTTTCTTTGGGGTGGGGGAGCGACTCACAATCATCCATCCTCCTGTCTCAGCCTTTGACCCTTATTCTTAGATATTTATACAAGCCCAACTAGACTGTAAGTGACCTCAGAGTCAAGGCCAATATCCACAGGCTGAGTAGCAGACCTGGTTAGAGAGGCAGATAGATATGACTCGAAAACCCAAGATTCTGAACACTAGTACCTACTAGAACCCCAGGACAAAGCAACCTCTGGGACATCTTAATTACTGAAGTACAAACAAGGAGGGCTTCCTGTAGGAAGCCATGATGGAGCTGAGAGAAGACACTAAAAGGAAGCAAAGGATGATATTTTCCCAAGCTTTAAACATGGCTGCAGTCAGGCACACTGTGCAAAGGCTTACTGCAGACGGGACATAGCATATGGAAGCCTGGTGCGGAGATCGTCTTGCCTACCTCCACCGGAGGTGAACCCAGACCGCAGGCATGCCACACACATGTTCTACTGTTGAGCTGTATCACCCCCACCCCACCGGTCTTTCTTCCTCCCTCCCTCCCTTCTTTCTTTCTTCTTTTTTTGAGACAGGGTCTGAGTTGCCCAGGCTAATTCTGAAACTCATTCTGAAGCCTAGGCAAGCCCAAAACTTTTGTTCCTGAGCCTCAGCCACCCGAGTAGCTGGGATCACAAGCACTGGGCTCAGGTATCCCGATTCTTCAAATTGTTTAACGTAGGATTTTGCAGAAAGATTGCAGGGTCTACATGTCCTCAACCGAGATCTGTAGGGCACCAGGCTTTGAGGCCACCAAGGAAATTAACCACACAGAACTGGCAAGCACCAAAGAGTAAGGGACCTGAATGAGAAAGTAAAGCACAGGGCACAGCATTTGGGGAGGGTTTCCCTGAGGAGCTGTCACGGTGTCACAGGAAAGCAGGCTCTGAGGGCAGAAAACAGTCACGATGGAAAGCACACCCTGGCCGTGTGAAAGGAGCTAGAAGCTGGACAACAGAGGGGAAGGGGCAGAAAACAGTGCTGTGCAGGCAGCAGGGTGAGGAAACCGGGCCTGATCTCACAGGTACCAAGCAGGCTATCACAGAAGAGAGGAGCCATGCGAAAGAGGCTGGACTCTGGGATATGCCCCAGAAGCTTCCATGTTCATCCAGGAAGGCAAAGGATTGTAGTAGGCACCAAGGCAGGAGCTGCTGAGATCACTCCCAGGAGCCCAGGGATGTGGGAGACAGTGCTGGGCTCACATGGGAGGGGGGTTATCGTTCGGAGACAATTACACATCCACTGTTAAAACTTTACAAGCAGCAGGTATTCTAGGTTCTACAGCAACCGCCAATACCAATCTAGACCTAAAATCTTAAAAGAATTGATAGGTCAACATGAGAGCGCCTTAAAGAAATTTGGAATCTGTTAAAACTAACAGGGGTATTTTACTGCAATGGAAACACAGGAAGAAATCACGAGGGTTTACCCAAAGGGAAAGGTAACAACGTTCCCTAAGAGGAAAAGAGTGGGAATCGTTGACCATAGCTGCCTGTTCTCTGGGTTTCTGACCTGCGATTCTCTTTAAATGTGAAGCAAGTGAGCTAAGTGTCCCTAAGAGGTGTCCTGTCCTGGGTCTTGTCTGTATTGAGGCTAAAACAACCTTGGTCTACGCAAACTTCCCCCAAGACACTCTGAGCCCTGTGGAAATCAGCAACAACATCCCCATCCCTTCTACTTTCGAGGTAAGAAAACAGACACGCTCCCGGCTGCCTGAGGGCAAAGCCTGTGTTCTCACAATAGGGTTGAAGGTGTGACTGTCCTGGCTTGCAGCGCCCTAAGGTCCACAAACCAGGGGACCGCACTACACAGACAATATCAAAGGAACATCCGCTCTGGGGAGAGGGCTTCCAAGTACACAGAAAAAGTCTGGACGCCACCAGTTTCAGGTCTGGGGCACCTGGCGGAGAGGACCTTCGGCTATGAAAGCATGCTCAACTCAAGCTGCGGCGCGTTGAGTGGTAGTGGTGGCATCGTGAGACCGTTAGCCAGACGAAAGGCAGAAAGGCAGGCAGTCTCTCAGAAAGTTAGGAAGGAATAGGGTGACGAGCTGCTTGAACAAAGCGCTGGTGAGAAAGGAGATGCATAGTTCCCTACCACTCCAGGTCCCCTTCCCTGGATGTCCTAAGCCCTTGCAGAGCTGCAGACATGAGGTCCAGGGCACGAACCACTAGCTCCGAAGCACACCCGTTCCGCGGCAGCCCGGAAGATCCCAGTCCTGGACGCGTAGCCCTGGGGCAGAGGGCCGGGAACAAAGGGTGGGGCGCACAGCCCCCGCCCCGCCGCCCAGCCACCCGCCCTCGGGAGTCGGACCCCAGCCAGCGGCCGCGCCTCATTAGCAACACAAAGCCAGGGGTCGGCGGCCTCTTTCATCCAGAGCGGGACCGGCGGACGCGCGCCCGGGGTCCGAGACGCCGGATGGGCTGGAGGAGCCGGGAGCCCCGTTGACCGCAGATCCGGCGTCGGGAGATCGGCCGGTCCCGGCTTGCCTGCCCGCGAGCACCTGTGCCCGCCGCGCGCCCCCAGGTAACCCGGAGCCCGAAGAAACCCTCGCCTTACCCTCCAGCCACAGGTGTCGGCGCCCCTCGCGCGGCCCGAGCCGCCCGCAGCCACTGCCAGCTGCGAGCCGTTGAGGCAGGCATTGACAGTGAAGAAGAAGGAACAGAGCTGCAGCCACGGGGCCATGGCCGTGCGCTCGCCCAGCGGGGCCCTTCTCCCCTTGACTGCCGCCTGCTGCTCGCTCTAAGTCCGGAGTGGGCGGTGGCAGCCGTGGCAGCAGGGGGCCCGTCCACACCGAGCATGCGCAACCGTGCTTCGCCCCGCGTCTCCCCGCCAGGTCCCGCCCTCTTCGTCCTGGTCCTGCCCCTCTAGCCCGCCCCTCGGAGACTCTGGCTTCTGCAAGTTTCAGCCCCCTCACAGCGGGATTTTTTTTTTTTAAATCCAAAGGATTTGTCCAAATGATGACTGCTCCAGACAAAAACTTGGGGCGACTCAAAAGAATATAATAATAGTAATTTTAAAATTAGTAATTTAATGAGTACTTACTTTGCAAATGTCAAGTCCCTTCTTGCGTTCTACCAAAGACACAGGAAAATGTCAGTATTAATGTCAGCATAATAAGGCCTCTAGAGAAATCCTGGCTCTACATTTACTCCTGAGACCTAGGACAAATTACTTGCTTCCTCCACAGCACTGTTCCCGGTAAGACAAAATGAAGACCACGAATCTTCAGCTGGGGGAGTTCTGTTAGTTAACGTGTAGTAAGCAAGCAATAAAGGCTACGGCCACAAAGTTACTTACCTAAGGACCCGTAGCCAAAACTGAAAAACAGCGTTCTTCCCAGAAACAAGTCAAACTTACCTTGTGGGGTGTGTGTGTGTGTGTGTGTGTGTGTGTGTGTGTGTGTGTTATCTCTCAAGAAAGAGGTACAGACCTCCTTTAGAGTATCATAGAAGCAAAAATGTCACTTTTCTTGTTGTTCTTCCTCTCCTTTGCCACATATGTGTGCTCCCAAACCACACCCCTAACATTGCACCCTCTGTCTTCCTGGCAACCTGATGATGGTCTCCACTTTCCCTCCCAGCCCCACATTCAGTACTTTATCCACCCTGGACACGGACCAGTGAATTTTGCAGCTGATGCTCTTCACTAATGACATTCTAGAAGGATATCCATCTTGGTCTTCACCCTGCCTCTATTTCTTCTCTCTGAGACTATACTGATAGTCCCCCTCCACGCCATCTTGCTTTTTTTTAACCGTCACCCTGTCCATCCAACAAGGCAACCTTTGCATTCCAGAGCCCAGAAATCATCCCTTCTAGCAGCACACAATGGCTCTTTAATCCCAACCCGCAGGAGGCAGAGGCAGGTAGGGATTTTTGGGTTGTGTGTCACTGCCAGGATGCTCAAGTGTTCTGCTTGCCTAGCCGAGCCAGCCCCACGCAAACTGCAGGAAGCTTGCAGCTCCTCGCACAGATCTGGCCATCAGTACTTTTCTCCCTTCCTCCGCCATCCGCTGGACACCTCTAGCCATCCAAATCCCCTTAGAAAAGACTCTCCAGGGCCAGGCTTGTCACAGGTTGAGACGTGGTCAGGATGAGCTGGGGTTTGGTGAAAGACTGAGGAAACCATGAAGTTAGTTGCTGCTCCTTAATCTACATGCATTCCTGCTGAGAGGTGTTCCATAGCTTAATAATCAATCCAGGACCAGAGTTTTCTGTTGTATCAGTGATTTTAAAATATCCCCACACATTTATCTCATTTTTAAGGATACATTCCTAAACTTGAGGTCTCTGAATTCTGAACATTAACTACTCCCAAACTGCTCATTATCTCATTGTCTTCTTAATTGCTTCTCTGGTTGCTAATAAAGTGATTCTAATTTCAGCCAGCTTTCCCTCCTATCTGGCTTACCTTCCTGTCCTCAATGCTTTGTTCTCTACCTGTCCTGGATCAGTAGGTAAGAAGCTGTCATTGCCAAATGGATGTGGATAGGTTGGGAGTATACTTAGCAGCCATTTGGACATCTTCCATTGTTTGATGTGGTATTCTGGGAGAGAGGGGAGAGAGAGACAGACAGAGCATGTGCAATAAATACACAGCGTTCGTAGCAGAGCCTTACAAACAGGATGGGGAGCTGAGGTGTTGGCTCCTGGCTTTGCCGCACTTAAGACAGGGCCGCCCTCCCTCCCATTCTTTATTGTCACTCTGCCAGTTGTTGAGCTTCCTCCGTCACACTCACTGTAAGATGCAGTCCAGAGAGCGCAGAGAGTGTGGTAGGTACAGAAAGAAGAAATTGAGGTGTCCAGACCAAGACCAAAACACAGCAGAAAGACACCCTCGGGCTGAGAAATGAAGGACCTTTTGTTTACCTTCTATCAAGACCCTAAGCACTTGTGGAAGAGGGAAGCTACATACATCAAAGGGTCAAATTTGGTCAGGAAATTTAGGCCATAAATTGGTATTTGGCAATACCGTTACCATTCTGATCTTCTGTAACAGTTACCATCTCTTACCCTGGCTTCTTGGAATGTTGGGGTTTACAGGGAGGATTGGAAGGGTTCCAGCCTGAAAAATGAGGTAAAAGAAGAGGAGCCAGATTTCCTCCCCACAGTTGAACCCCACTGCTGTAGAGACGAACAAGGAAACCTTCCCAAAAGTCAGAGTCTGTTTCTACCCACCAGAGACAGGATGGCTAAGGACCCTTTGCAGGCATCCCTCACCTGGCTCGCTTCTCTGCCCTCAGTGTCTGTCACTTTGCTTGGCACTGACCAGTGAACACGACACTGCCACCACCAATAAGAGGCTGGTGATCTGGGTGTAGAGTTCCACATACAGCAATTGCTAGCAAGGCCCTGGGTTCCATTCTCAGCATAACCAAAACAAGGAAAATGTTGCTGAGGACAAATATATCAAGTGTATTTCCTCGCTCTACCAAAAACCTGGTCAGATAAGAAAAATCTCGAATTACTGCACTCGATTTTGTTAGAAATCAAATTATAGCATGAACCTGGAGAGAGGATAATGTCGTCATGGAAACGACTTGTCACAGACCTCTTAAGCCAGGAATAACTAAAAATTAAAATCAGTAAGCTGAAATTCTAAATTGTCTTTGGGGTTGTGATACAATAGTACATATGATTTCTGAGCTAATTATGACATTAAGCCAGGCATGACAGCTTAAGTTGTAATCAAGGTTTTTTTGGTTTCTGTTGTTGTTTTATTTGTTTTTAAAACAGGGTCTCATGTAGTCCTGGATGGGCTGTAACTCACTATGTAAACCAGACCGGCCCTGCACTCACAGGGATCCTCCTGCCTCTGCCTCCCCAGCACTGGGATCAAAGACCTGCGTCTTCGCTCCAGGTTTTCCCAGCAAGCTTAAACTAGCCTTAGTTACATAATGAATTCTGGGGTTCTCTGCGCTGAATGGTGAGACTATGTCTGGAGAGCTGGTTCCCTGGTTAAGATCACTTACTGCTCTTTCAGAGGGCCCAGGTTAGGTTCCCAGAACCACAGGGTGCTTCACAAGGGCCTGTAATTCCAGTTCCAGCCCTTTCTGGTCTCCACCAGACCACTGGACACATGCAAGTCAACACTCATAAAATAAAACGAACACATCTGAAAACAAACAAACAAACAAAGAATGAATGAACGAACCCAGAAACAATGGAAGCCTTTAAAAGTAAAGAAGGGACCTCTTTACTCCCATCCCAGTCTCCTAGACAACTTAGATTTGGCAAGGCTTCCCAGGGCTTTGGGGATGCCTATGTCATAAACTAGCACCACCCCAGCTCTGTAAACCCAGTCTTGGCCACCTCCCCTGCACAAGGCCATCTGGGCCCCAGTAGGGGAGGAATCGTCAGTCTCAATAGGGTAGGACTCTCACCCGCGCACTTCATGTGTATGCACATAAGACCGCTGTGAGAAAATCTTTTCCAGTTACAAGCCGGGCACCCTGCCTGCCCCTTTGAGATGTTGGGACTGTCACCACACCCCAAAACCCCAGTGCAGGAACTCCAAAGTGCAGGAAACTGAGAGTGGAGTACTGTGTTCATTCACAGATCCGTGAGCACTTTCTACCTTTTTCTTTGTTTTTCGAGACAGGGTTTCTCTGTAGCTTTGGAGCCTGTCCTGGAACTAGCTCTTGTACACCAGGCAGACCTCGAACTCACAGAGATCCTCTTGCTTCTGCATCCCTAGTGCGACGATTAAAGGCATGCACCACCACTGCCCAGCTAAAGATATGATCTTATGTATTCCATTTTGACCTAGAATTCCCTAGGTAGCTTAAGGCGCCTCTGAGCTTGAATCCTCCTGCCTTCATCTCCAGAGTGCTGGGATCACAGACACCAGCCAGTTCTCCATGTTTTGGCTTCTATTTCTTCTTTTTCAGGAGAAAATGAAGCATTTGGCCTCACCACAGAGACTACCAGCAAATATGTGCTATCCAGGTCTGGGTGCTCATGTTCCTGCCGTACATCCGGGCAAGTGTGTGGTCATCAAGGACACAGGACAAAGTTAACCCGGCAGGTGCAAGTCCGCTGCAATCCAGAGCCGTTGCTAAGTTTTAGAGGAAGTGGCATTCAGGGGGCAGTAAGAAAGCAAAGTCAAACACCAGCTCTCAGCAACCACGAGTTTAGGGGCAGCCATTTTCACAAGCAACAGGAAGGACACTTCAGCTTGCTTGTCTTTCAAATCTAAAGTAATAATTAGCTATGGAGGTACATGGTCATTATTGCAAAGGGTGAACCACGAATTGAGGATGTCAGAAAACCTATTATCTGGCTTAGGGCTGGAAGCCAGGAGACAGGAAGCTGGGAGGCAGCAGCTGACTCTATCTCCTTTAGGAGACAGCGCCTAGATTAGATCTGCAAGACTACAGACCATACCCTGTTTACCATCTATTCAATAGGTGTTTGTGGAATTTCTACACCCATCAGCAATTATACCAGGAGTGCAGAGAGGAAAGGCATCTGCGTGGCATGTGCGAAGGCACTGGGCCAGTAGAGAACAGGGTAACCCCAAGGAGCTGAAAGTCTGTCTAGTTGGAGAGCTGCTAGGTGCGGAGGAATGGTACCAAGCGAGGCCTGTGGAGGCAGACAGGCAGTGCTTGACGGGCAGCTGGTTGTTTTGTGATGCTGGGAACAGAGCTTGGGGTTCCTCATAAGCAAGTGCCGATCTTCTCTACCACTAGTTGGGACCCCATGGTTAAGTCTCAAACCCCAAGACAAAAGACGGAGACGCCTATTTAACATATCAAAGAGGGCCTGGCCTCCAGGTTCTTCCAGCCTCCCTCAGTCCCTCCCTGCTTGTTACAAAGTGTG